TCGTCGTAATTGTTATTATTGTTACCGTTGTTGTTGTGGTTATTATTTTTGCTGTTGTTGTTATTGTCTCTGTTGTTACCATTATTGTATTATTGTTATTGTTGTTACCGTCGTTCTTGTTGTTGTTGTTGTTTGTTGTTGTTGTTGTAATATTCATTCCACTAATCATGCTATTTACTGTAGCTGTATTATAAAGTATTGTTATGATAGTTATCGCTGTCGGATTATATTTCAGGTTGACGATTTTGGAATTTATCGTCGTACTGATTGCTCACTGAAAATTTTTTCACTTCAAGCTTAGGTTTACATTTACGAAGTTTTGGTTTTAACAGATGCATGAATAAATCAGGTTTTTATTCAATCAAGAAGAGAGAGAGGGTAGAGGCAAGGAAAGAAATTAATAAAAAAGAAGGAAAAAGCATAAATGCAAATAAGAAACAAATATTTGAATATTGCCTTATATTTCCTCTTATAAATGACGATAATTGCAAAAAAAATCACATATACCATCCAAAATATTTTAATTAATCATAAAATTTAAAATGAAATATCGACGACATAACTTCAATGATATGTTTCAAAAAAGGAGAGGAAAGAATATGTATATGTATATATTATAGATGAAATGGGAAAATTAAAAAGGAGAAGAAAAAGGATTTAATTAAGGAATTTTTTCCGAAATGATATAAAAAATTAAATTCAGTATACAAATGCCTTATAATAATGACAATAATATTTGGAAATTATCAGTAGTAAATAGTCACTTAAATAGATGAAACGAAAATACTAACAATATCAGAAAATAAAGCTAAACAAAGGGCAAAAAGGAAAACCACTCATAATTAAAATAAAAGATTTTATTTTGTTTTATTTTTTTTAAGTTTTTAAAAAATTAATTTTATTAATTTTTGTTAAATGCTCTTTTTTTATTATCATTCGGCATTATTATCATCCAACTCTTATTTTCTTCAGATAAGATAACATTCTGAACTAATTCAGATGAAGAAAATTACATTCAAATATTCATATTTCTATCAAATAGATAAATATTAATAGAAATAATGCTATAACTAACCAAAAAATATACATACATCGATTAATTAAAATGAAAAAGAAAATTAATCACTCGTACTAGAATTCAGTATTCCTCCCTGTTAACAAATAGGTCACTTAAAAGGTCACTTTCATGTTGCTCTAATCTTTGCTACTCCTTCTAACTCTTATTTTTGTTCAAATTCCATTTTATCTTTTCCAAATGAATGTAATAATTCATTTAATTCAAGTTACATACAAGATATTCAAATTCTATGAACAATTCAAAATTTGTAACAATTTAATTTCAATACTTTTTCACAAATATCCAAAATAGATTTAGCATAAAATATACAAATTATAATCGGTGAATGCTTATTAAATTTTCACAATATCAAAATTGCAATTTAATCTATATAAAATTTAACAAGTGCTCAGTCATATTCACTACTGATTTATGTGATTCGTTCCCGGAAAGGTTGTTTGTGGTGGTAGAAATGCGCCACTGTGTGTTTTCAAATCATCGTTCCTGAAATAGTCATTCATTGCTTTTTAGACATTGTAAGATCGCATGAAAATCTGTCAAATTATCGGAAATATTATTCTTAAATGGTTAACAAACGTCTGAGGCGCATCTGTCATATGTCAAAAATTGGATGATATCAATTGAGGAGATGATAGGTTGGGTCGAATTATTCCTTTGTCATATCTACAGCTGCTACATTCATCATTCCCTTTTGTATGAATGAGTAATACTACTGTATCTATGATATGGTAAATAGAAGGAGAGAAAATACCTTGGACAGATTTATTGAATAATTAGGATTTAAATTAAATGGGTTTAAATATGCAAATATATATAGTATAATGTATATCTGCATATGTATAATATAATGTACATCTATTTCAATTACGCATTATCAGAAGTGAAATATGTATTTACTAAAATATAACAATTAGTAAAATTCAGTGTTTAATGAAAGAAATTTAAATGCTAACACAGTCTGCCATACATGATTGAATTATTATGAATTGAATTAAGATATATTTAATACGATAAATTGGGATTTTTCCATTTAATTTTTTGTTAAAAGAAGAATGTTATAATTTCGAAAAATTAAGCATCAATCAACTTTAAATTAAAAATTCTAAATTTTTGAAGAATTAAAAGTAAGAAGGCATATTTCAAATGCCTTTAGCTCTCAGGTTATTATTGTTTTAACTATAAGCAATTATACATCAAAAAGTATTACATAAATATACTGAATATTAAATTGATCATCAGAGTGATTAGATTAGTTACACATGGAAGTAAAAATAGTAAAAACATAAGTTTGGTATTTCAGATGAATTTTGGAACAATACTGTTTGCATGTAGCCTTCAATCTTTCAATCATCAACAATTAAAAGTATGAAATCTTTGAATCGATCCGGTTGATGTTAATAATTTGGGCCAATTTGCATGATGAGTTAAAAATTTTCAGATGAAAAATAAATTTGACGTCCAGAATGAGGTAATTGATCAATTAATTGGGACAAATGATGAATAAAACTTACACGAACTTATCAGCAATCAAATCAATCGTGTAAAAGGCATACTTTCAGCATTGTTCTTAATTAATAACTGGAATTAAAATTAAGGGAGGAGAAACAAAAAACTTCTTAGATTAGTTGGTAGGAAAAAATCTTTAAATTCCTTAAACTTTTTCTTCCACGCATACTTCCTTCAATTATTTATGCTTACTTTACTATTATTTAGTCTGTTTTATTTCGTCACATACCTTTTAACAATTAATTCAAAAAATAATGAAAATTAAATTTTTGAAAAATTAAAATATACCCTGTTGGCATAGATGGCATAGTTTTCTCTTCTTCCCTCCTTTTTAGGCATGCTGCTTTCGGATTCAAATTCCTCTGACGTACCTAAAAAGGACAAGTATGACGAATATAAAATATTGGGAAGAACAAAGATCAAAATTTGATATAATTTGAAAATTTGTTTATTTTATTTATTTATTTTTTTCCTACACCAATTTTCATGCAGTACTGAGATCCCTAACAACATGAGGTTCCTAATAGACTATTGCGGTGCCAGAAGGTTGATTCAGATTACCTATGGTACTATCATTGGTACTAGAAGATTGATTCGCAACAAGCACACTTTGAGAAGGTAAGAAAGATTCGTTCTGTTCCTTTAATAACATTCTTTTTAAGTTCCTCTGTCGAATCTGAAGCAACAACGTCACATTTCTGTTTTCAGTTTTTCTTCTTTCTCTTTTTTTCTTTTTTTTTTGAGATATCGACGAAAGCAAAACAATCAAAAATTGCTTCATCAGGAATGAATTTAAAATACCTTCCATCAATTTTTGAAACGTTTACTAAATTCAATACCAATATAATTCTAATAGCAAGAAATATAAAGGAATGTGATCAGATGAAGTGCAAAACTTTTAGAAACGGTCATCAATTGTCCAAAGTTATCTATTGTCAAGTATCGAGATAATTCCTTGTTCTCTCATCGGAACTTTAAAAAAAAAGAAAAATAAACTAGAAAATTTCAAACAAAAAAAATTTACTTCATTTTATAAGATTTTAAAAGGTTATTACTGTCTAACAAAAAATAAAGAAAACCCTTATTTAAAAAAGTAGCAAAATATAACCAATATTAATAGCTTTCATTTACTATCGAATATGTGTTATCAATGAATAATTAAATTTAATTATTTTCTTTTTTAATTAAACAAAGAAAATGAGGAAAAAGGAGAAATATTCAATATTTTCAGGACAACCTGCTCTTCAAGTCCGGTGATGACAGCCACAGCTTGATGTAATACGCCTAATTTCGTTTGAGTTTTATCGGAGCCCTGTTGTAAATGCTGAGCACACATTTTACCAAGTTCTTTAAATGCCATATTAATATCTTTAACCCGAATTCTAAAAATGTATTGATATGTCTATGATAAAATGAATTAATTTGAATAATGTTGAATTGAATTTTAATTGGAAACAATATTGAGAGAGCAAAATTTGATAGATAATTAACGAAATTTCAAAAGAGAAAAATATCGAGTGTAAAAGTAAAATGCATAAAAACAATCATTATTATTATTATTATTTGTTTGCCGAGGAAAAAGTTTAATATGCAAATTTCAAAAAGGGTAAGCTATAATTTTGTGGAAATTGCATATAAGCTCTTAAGCAATCACACGAGATCACCGATAGTAGCTGTTTAAGTGAGTAATTTAAAATCTCTCGAAATCGTTATAAAAGAATGTTATAAAAGATAGTATGTTGCTGAATCTAAGATCACCTTATCCTTATTCTGATTACATCCATTAAAAATTCAATTCGAAAAACATTCATTGTAATTTCTACCCTTTTCCGGAAAACGTGAAATGGATGGAATAAAT